AGTGCCCTCACTTATCTAACTACCTAACCATGGTCATCAAAAAGTGAGATCAAGAACTCAGATGCAGTAGCCAGTTTTTGCAGAGAGCATTCTCTGAACATTCGGATGAGATGTACTCAGTAGTATAAGTCAACTATAGCTTAGTAGAAATAATGTCTTAGGAGTTACTGGGGTAGCTGAAGGTATATGTATTGATATCCATTAAAGAGTGTGCACAAAATAAAGAAAAGAAGGATATGGAAAGAAACTTGAAGTTACATTAAAGAGGTTACACAGTGGGTACACTGCATATATTAGATAACCAACATCTCATCCTCTTTTCTCCCATACACTCTTGGTGGCTGGTAGAGGTTATCATTCATTCAACAAGCCAAAAGAGCTAGAAACTGACTTCCCATTCCTCTTACACCTGAAGTGAGAGGATTTGACCTAGATTTGGCAAATCAAATCCACTCAACCTACATTTAGAATATGGAGAAAGAGGGAGAAAAAGGTACAGGGACAAAAGAGAATATCGGTTGCAAAGACAGCAATACCAGGACTCCAGCAAACGCATCCTGCATCCATGACCATGGCATTGTGAGTGTGAGCTGGCATTCCAAATTCAGCAGTAGCAAGAGCAGGTTTCATTGAGCTGGTGTTAGGACATGATTTTGGCTGCTGATTGTCTCCTTTGCTTCCTTCTGTTCCTGACCATTTTTTTTTCACCAGATTTCTTTAATCTCTCCTGCATTTCTATGTGAGAGCCAATTTCCATTCAATTAACTCATTTCCTGTGACAATCAAGAAGCCTGGCTCACAACAAAAAAGGACTAGGGAGAGACCAGGAAAGGATACCGAGCAGAGAGGTGGGAGGAAACTGGAAAGTTAAGTGTTGTGAACTTAAATAGAGAAAAGATATTCAAGAAGAACAAAGTGAAGGACATGTTAAATGTCAAAATAAATGATCAGATTTCACTGAGTGTGGAAATTAAGAGATTTTTAGTGACTTTAGTGAGAGCAGCTTGCATTTGGTGATTGAGTTGAGGCCAGACAATAAGGAGAAGTGAAAGAGGAACAAGTAGACGGAATGATACAGAGTACTCCAAGAAATGTGAAGAACCGTTGGCATTTTTCTGCTTCTCATATACACATGTAGGGTTTTTTTTCCCCTCTAGAACATTTTAAGGAAAGTTTTCAAAAGAGAGGAGAGTAAGGAACTGAGAGGAGAAAGGGAACAGGAAAAGTGGGAAGGCATATGTATTGGTGAAAATAAAAACGGCAGAGAGGTGAGTAACAGATGGAAAATAACAAAGACGTAGGTGGGTTAATGTTGGGAAAACAAGCCAAAGAAGACCTGAGAGAAACTATCTGGGAAAGGCTGAACAGAAAATACAGATATGCCCTGCTTTTCAGAAGTTCGCTGAACCGCCACTTCACTTTTATGAAAGAACTACTTAGCACCTGTTTTCACTAATCAAAAGAGATCCAAAGAGAATTTTTGCTACTACTGAAAAAAAAAAAGGGTAAAACAGCTGTCAGCATTCCTTTTGCAAGAAGCGGTTATAGAAGGATCGCACCAATATTCCCTCATACCACCACCTCCCACACCTCCCCACCCCCCACACTCCTCAACCCCTGGCAGCCAGAGTGCTCCGCCAAGCTCCTTCCCTGGAAACTACATTTAGCATCTCAGCATCAAGCCACAATAGCTCTGAACTGTGTCTGTTTGTATCTGTGCTTTATCTCGATTTATTCTGAGCATCTCTTAGGAAAAGTAGCTTCTACTCTTTATGCCATTTCAGCTTTTAAAAGGTTTCATAAGAACACCCTACTTTCAGATAGTGGGGGAAATCTATAAAGGGAAAGGCTTAGAGACTTAGGGGTGAATGTTTGTCTTAACTCTGGTGTTCCCAAAGGTCAGTCCTAAGAATCTTTTTTTTTTAAGTCAAAGTTTATTTTCCTATGGAATTTGTGTATGAAAAAGAGACTTCAATTTTAAATTTTATAAATTGTGTGTTGCCCGTAAATATATTGGCTCTGCCTAAAGTTCTTTCAATATTTAAAACTTGCTTTCTCTTTGCTGTTATGTTAGAGTAATTAGAACTGAACTTCTCTAGAAATCCTGTTCGTTTAACTTCAGACCACTTCCTTCTCCACCAGTTGTCAATTTCTTTAGTTTTGGGGGGAAACAAAAACTGAGGCAAAATTAGATCTTGAGTATAGGCAATATAAATAATGAACATCAATAATTCCCATTGTTAATTCAATTTTTATATAGAATTGCCTTCCTTCCCTGCAATCACTAAATAATTGAAAATTCTCAAATCTAATTTGTGTGTGGATATTTATTTATAAATGCTGGCAAGCATAGTAGGGAAACATTTTCTACATATATCCTATATATAAATAAAATATATATTATATAAATATATATAAAGTACTCAATGATTTATATGTATATATCTTTTTTTCATTTATATTCCATAGTGCATATATATTTCTATGCTATATGTACAAAATACTCAATAAAGTTATTCTCAGAAGTGGGTGAAAAAACAGAAATTAATATTTAAATAATTTGCCTTGAAAGTTTTAATCAGTGTTTAATTAATCAGAGTGAGTCTTTTTGTCAGAATCATCAAAATGATTTCTTATATAAGAATCATATGAAATGAAACATTAAACCCAGTTTTAAACTATTTAACCTCTGGTTCACCAAAATTCACCTCATAAAATTGTTAGAGATAGGTTAACAAAATAATAAAACATTGTTAAAGGGAACAATTCTGTCTTAAGCTATTTTACATATATGAATTTTAGTCACAAAAGTAAAAGACACAATTAATTCACTATTTTTTTCCATTTCCACTTGGCTATTTTGACATCTTATGTGCCCAATCTAAAATTACTGTAAATTAAGCAGTATTTTAAATTTTTTATATAAAGAATAATGAATATTATGCAAATCATTTATCTCTTACCCATATCTTATGAGAAATTGTGGATATCCTTTCAATACAGTAGGCTTTCTAGAGTAGAAAAATCTACGATAGTACAGGAAATGACAATAACACAAGTAGCAATTCTTTGCATACTGATTTTGGAGGCTTTACTTTTCAAGCTAAGGAAGTTATTATTTATATTAATTTCTTTTGAATAGAATAGTCAACCAATTATACAACTCCGTGCTTTTACCAGAAGAAGAAGGGGTGAAGTACCAAAATTCCCCTGATAGAGCCCAAGGATTCCCTTTAGGACAAAGCTAATCTTTTCTACTGGGCATTGTGAACCTGGACATGTGTGAGGAAATCCAGATTATTCCACCAGGCATTATAAACTCTGAAATCATAAAAATCGATCATTTTAGACCTTTCCAGTTTTAACAGTAGAAATTGCACTTTATGCCACTACTTTCAACCATAGATGACACTTCTGATATGTTTATGAAAATTCAGTTCATGTGTAAATTTTGATGCTCAGCTTAGTATGGTCTTGTCTGAGCTAATCACACTTGATTTTAATGAGGCCAGAGTTCTAGAACCCCTTCAGGAGCCAATCCCAAGAAAGTTGTCCTCATGCGAACTGTAAATCACATTCCATACCTATACCTAGCTCCACACATTAGTGGAGAAGTCTGATGAGAAATCTTACTAAACAAAGGTCAAGGGGAGAAGCAAAGGAAAAACAGAACAAAGGGCCACAGTGGGAGGTGGCCTACATCAGTGCTTCTCAAACTTTAATGTCTATGAATCTCCTGGAGAGCTTGTTAAAATGAAGATTTCGTTTCAGTAGGTCTGTGAGGGGCCGAAGGGTCTTCATCTCTAGCAAGGTGACTGTTGCCTATGGACAGGTGTCTTCCACAGGGCCACAGGGTCTTCCTCACTGGAGGGACTATCAGAGTATCAGAGAGCCTACATATTTGGAGAAGCACAACATGATAAATGTAGCTTGCAAACAGAGAAGCAAGGAGGAGTCATATGCGGTTAGAGAGGCCAGCATATGTGGGAGACTATGTCAGGACTTTGTTCTTTACCCCAGCCTAAAGGAAAACTATTGAGGGATTTTGAACAGAGTGGTAATGTGTCCAAATTTGCTTTTTTGTGCATTAACAGATAAAATTATCCATGAACATTCATAAAATAAACCTTAATTTACTTGTGATATTTGGATTTGAAATCTATAAAGTTTTTTAAAAAAAGATAAAGAATAACCTCTGAAATGTGACTGGCAACCTAGGGATAAAAAAGGGCATATTGTTTGATAGCTTCATTAATCCCTTTCCTGCTTCCTTAGAATCTTGTTTGTGAAAGGGAGAGAAATGGAGAAGAAGTAACATAGATAAAAGAGAATTCACTGTGAAAACTCTACAGAAGGATTGAATAAGTACAGGATGTGCAGAGGGAGCTTTAACATAACAAAAACTTGACTTAAGTTTACTGTCCCCTTCAATTTTGAGTAATTATCTTCCAGGTTTTGTGTTGTCTGTCTATAAGTACAAAGGTGTGTATTGCTGCTTCTGGCATGGATTGCCCTTTCAATTTCAGTTATTTTAATAGGTGGGTTGTGGTATCTAATTGTGGTTTTAATTTGCATTTCCCTGATGACTAATGATGATTATATCTGCCCTTACTTGACATCTGCAGGCCATCTTCAGTCAAATGTTGTCTGTTCAGATTTTTTGTCCACTTTTAACTGAGTTATTGTTTTCTAATTTCTGAGCTTTGAGAGTTTTTCCTATATCCTACATATGAGTGTTTTATCAGATATATGTCTTAGAGATATTTCCTGAAATTCTATGGTTTGTCATTTCATTTTAGCACTTTTTTTGAACAGCAGTTCTTTATTTAATGAAGTTAATTTGTCAGTGGTTTTTCTTTCATAAGTTGTGCTTTTGATGTCTTATTTGTTGTTTGCACATTCAGGTTTATGACACATTTTGAGTTAATTTTTTATATTATCTACATCAAAGTTCATTTTTTGCATATAGATATCCAATTGTTCCAGTATCATTTGTTGAAAAGACGGTCATTTCTTCACTGAATTACCTTTGCAGCTTTATTCAAAATCAGCTGTCCATAAATTTATGGGTATATATCTGGATTGTATTCTGTTCCACTCCTCTATTTGTGTGTCTTTATAACAAGTCCACACTGTGTTGATAATGAAGTTCTATGTTAAATCTTAGAGTCAGATAGTGTTAGATCCCTAGTTGTGTTCTTCTTTTTCAAAGTTGTCTTGGCTGTTCTATATTCTTTGCATTCCTATATGAATATCAGAATCAGCTTATCAATTTCTACAAGAAATCCTGCTAGTATTTTGATTGGGACTTTATTAAATCTATAAATGAATTTGGAGAGAATTGAAATTTTTTCGATATTAACTCTTCCAATCCATCTTTCCATATATTTAGGTATTCTTTAATTTCTCTTATAAAAGCTTTGTTTTTTTTCAATTTATTGCTCTTGCACATTATTTGTCAGATTTATCACTAAGTTTTCATATGCTGATTACTATTGTACACAGTATTTTTAACTTCAATTTCTGAATGTTTATTACTACTATACAGAAATACAGGTGATTTTTGAATATTGATTTTGTATTCTGGAAATTAACTAAACTCATCTACTAGTTTTAGTAACTTTTTTGTACTCCATTTGATTTTTCTGGAGGGATAATTATATTATCTATTTAAATATTATTTATTTCTTCCTCTTCAATCTGGATGCTGTTAAAGAAAATCAGTGACTCTTGTTGAAGGTCGTAAGGAAGATTTTATTCAAGGGAAGGCTATTATAATAGTTGCAGGAACCATTTCAATGGGATCTTGCAGTGGGAGAGAGATGTTGAATTCAACATAGCATAGGCAAGTGGGTACTTATAGCTAAGGAGCAGGGTGCAGGAGAGTGGATGGAGAATTACCGAGAGAAAACATCAGGGATAAGAGCAATTCTGGCTAAACCAACCTAACAGTATTGCTGAAGGCAGGCTAGGGCCATAGCACATTACCTGGGGGTTGGTGTAGGATAAGGAACCCAAATATGTATCAGGGGTGATCAGATATCAAAGATAAGGATCAAAGTGATTCAGCAGGATTCTTGCCAAAATTGGACAATTCGCGGATGAATATGGACGTCCAGAAATCAGGCGTGGTTGAACAAGAGCTCAGAGGAGTCTGAGTAGAATTTGATGAGTGAGAGAATCTTTATCATTATCTTTATCACTCTAGAATTATTTTATTTCACAAGTAAAACTGTCTATTATAGAAAGATTTAAAGATATTGATAAGTAATAGGAAAGTAAAAATATTTTATAATTATCTAGAAATATACACTAATATTTTAGTATCAATCTTTAAAATTTTTCTATCATATATTATACAAATATACATACATCTGTGTATTTGCAGATAAGGAAATTATGCAATATACATATTTTTGCAACCTGCTATTCCTGCTTAATATATGTGGAATGATAACTCTAGAGAAAGGAGTTCAAATTCCTACTCTGATCCTTTTACAATTCCCTTTTTCCTTTTCCTGAAGCAAGGAGATGTTAATACGATGTGTGAAATTACGAGATTCTGGTAGGATTCCGTAGGTGGGCTTAAGGGACATCCAGAGGTCAGACTGTCGATTTGATTGACCGTAGCTTGTGTCTTCTTTTAGCAGAAATGCTAAGTAGCCCGCAGGCATGCTCCCTTGAAACATCTATTCTTCCTGCCAGAAAAATAAGCTCACTCATGGACTTTTCCTTCCAAACATGGCCAGCTCCACTTCACTCTTTCTTTTCCAAACTGGCCACCTGGCTTAGTCTGGCTAGCTTTGTGCACCAAGGGTTAACTTCTACACTGCTAGCTCCATTTCTTCCAGCACTAGAAATCAAGATTCAGATTAGGCTTAAAGGAGAAAAAGCTCCTTGGACCTCTAGTCTAGACCACAATTTTCTGTCTTATTTTGACCAAAGCTCAAGTTGCAATATATTTTACTTTGTTTTCTTTTCCTTTCTTATATTCTTTCTCTAGAATGTCTAAAAGAACATTTATATACATCTCCCAAAAAACTCCTAGAAGATGATTTCGCTGTTTGTGCTTATCTGTTTTATATAAAATATATGGACTTGGGCTTTTCTTTTTTGAAAACTAAAATTTCAAGTTTAAAAAAATCGTGTAAGTATTCAGGTTATCTGTTTCTTCTTAAATAAGCTTTAATAGTTTATTTTTTTCCAGGGGATGTGCTAATTTTATCTAGGTTGACAAAATTTTGGTCATAAAATTGCTCACGGTATTTCTTTGTTGTCCTTTAAACGTTATAGCATCTGTATTGATGTTTCTCTTGCTCTTCTGATATATGCATTTTCTGTCATTTAGTGACTTAAGATTTTTCTCTTTTTTTTTTCCTGGCCAGTTTGGCCAGAAGTTTATCATTTTTATTGATCTTTTCAAATAACCAGCTTTTCATTATATTGATTTTCTCTATCACTTTTGTTTCAATTTTATTGATTTCTGCTCTTATGTTTATTTATTTATTTATTTATTTCTGTTTGTTTGGGTTTAGTTTGCTCTTCTTTTTATAGTGTGTTAATGTGGAAGCTTAGAATGTTGATTCAATCCTTTCTTTTCTAGTGTAAGTATTTAATGCTGTAAGTTTTTCTTTAAACACTCTTTTAGCTATACCCCACATATTTAAATGTTTGTATTTTCATTTTCATTGAATTTAAAATATATTCTTCTTTCCCTTGTGATTATTTCCTTGATTTGTGGATGTTTAGATAGATGATTTTTAATTGCCAAATACGTGGAGATTTTATATCTTTCTCTTACTGATTTCTAATTTAATTCTGTTATAGATTATGTTTTGTATTAAATCAATTATTTCATTTGGTCATTTAATGGCCAACATGGCAGAGAGAAACGTGAAATTGTTCTCAGGGAGGGTGGTGCCAGCTCAGGGGGAAGAAACCTTTAAAAACTGGCTGATCCAAGTCGGTGAGGTCCTGCCCGATTGGAATATGTCTGAGGAGGGAAAACTTAAGTGCTGGCTTAAAACCCTGAGGGGCCCCGCGCGAGAGGTCATGCATTTGCTGCAGGCTGCGATCCGCAACCTAAGTGTGGCAGATTTCTTGCACGCCATGAAATTGGTGTTTGAGGAGTCTGAAAGCAGTGTGACCTCTCATGGTAAATTTTTTAACACCCTGCAGGCACAAGGGGAGAAAGCCTCCCTTTATGTGATCCGTTTAGAGGTGCAGCTCCAGAATGCTATTCAGGCAGGAGTCATAGCTCAGAAAGATACAAACCAGACTCAACTGCAGCAGCTCCTTTTAGGGGCTGAGCTGAATGGGGACCTGCACTTTAGGCTCAAGAATCTTCTCAGAATGTATGCAAGTGAGCAGGAGTGTCTCCCCAGTTTCCTGGAGTTAATCAGAATGATTAGGGAGGAAGAGGATTGGGATGACACTTTCATTAAATCGTGTATTTTTGGTCCTGGTTCTACACATATCCCCAGGACCTTTCTTATGCCCAGAACCCCCGCTGGTGGAAGGAAATTCATCCCAGGAATTGCTGGGGGAATCAATGACCAGCAATTGTTTTGCCTTTTGACATTGTGTTGTTTCATTCTTGGTTTTTTTGTTTGCTTGTTTGTTTCACAATTTTTAATGAAATCTGGTCTTCATGTGTAGGACAGTAAAAATGGAAGTAAACAGTACTTAAGAGGACAAATGAAATATTCTGAATTATAAAAACCTAAAATTACTTTTAATAGCTGAAATATCTGTATTTCAGATACCAAGTTAAAAGGGACGTTGATTATCAACTTTGAAAGACTGTATTCTGTATCTGTATGGTAGGGTATGAGGTAAAATTAAGAACCACTTTAAGATTATGCTTAGAGCTGAATAGCATCTGGATAGATGGGGCATATCCATAGTGGAAAGACCCTCAACCATTGAGATTTATGTAGAAGTAATAATTTTGTCATATTGAAATGGGATATTTCGGGTATGCCTGCTTCCTGTATAAGACATTCAGTTCTACCTTTGGGGAAAAGGGGTATCTTAGTTTGTGTTCTGTCAGACTGAGACATGATTTGAATGCAGTAGTTTTTTGTTAATAGTTGATGAGTGATAAAGTGATGAAGTGAGACAGGGAGAGGAATGCAGCCAAAAAGGGTAATTTACCAAACAAGTTACAATTGTAAGCAATCAAGCTTACTCTTTTTTGGAAACACCATGAGCTAGTATGAAGCATGAACATCAAATTTATATCAACCAAAGGGCAAAGGATTTGGGGTATTTATTCACCAACTCCTGCAAGTCACTGGTTGATAAATGATCTAAGGGAGATTCTTTGAATAGTAATCATTTCCCAGTTCTTATAGTCTGCCTTAAATGAGGGTAAAATGGCTCTGGCCATCAGAGAAAACCCTCAGACGCAGATGTGCAGTTAGAAAAGATAAGGGGAGACACAAGCAGTATCTGTGACAGGGAATATATAAGAATCAAGGGCAGTGTGATCTGAGACTCACACTGAATGAGTCATTCAACACTAGCTATTACAGTGTATCAGGCTATCCCTTAAGCAACCCATTTTCAAAAACCTTAAATTGAGGTTTGTCCACAAATAACAAAAGAAATGATGAAACTTGCTCTCATAGGCTTAGAAAAGTGGAAAACAGTGTTTTGAAGTGAGTCATGGCATACAATCTGTACTACATAATACTTAACATAGGGCCTCTTGACTGGAAGAAAGTCTCCTCTGACATTTGCCAAAATTTCCCTAAAAGAGCAATGAAATGTTATTTAATTTATTTTACAATCTTTAAAAATCTAACTAATACTTACAATACTGTTCCCAGTCACATCATCTTCATCCATTAGGTCATTGCTTATGGTGTCTTATACACAGTGCAGTCAGCAACACAATATTGTGTTGTAAATAGTGCCCCTGAGTTAAGCAGTGCACACAGCTTGAATGGTCATTCACAATCCCTCTGCATATACTTTGTCACAACACTATTCATGGAACCCATTATTTTTCTCTCAATAATTTATTAATGTCATTCCATTGTCTTGTACTTTCAGTGCAACAAATAGAAAGTCAGATATTACTGTTCTTATCTTTACTTTGTCAGTAACCCAGTCTCTCTATCTAGGAGGTTGTAGATCTTCTCTTTCCTCCTAAAGTCTGGGACCGTTTGCCAGGAGCAGTTTTCTTGTGGTTGGTGCACTATCAGTGCTATCCTTTGCAGATTACTTAGCTTAGGAATCCAAGATTTCCTTTGTTTCTAGGCTTGATGAGCTACATTTTAGACTGGGTGAGCCTGATTTGCCTATTCTAGAATCACCAGGATGTAAATGCACTATGGACTCCCTCCAGTGGTCACTTCTCTTAAAAATACTTTCAAAAAATAAATACTTCAACATACGAGATTTTTTTCATGAGTTTGAATATATGGCTTCACAGCACTTGTGAAATAATGGTGTCCCCATTCACAAATCTAAACCTTTCCCCCTGCCTAGTTGAAGACAAGACAGAGCACCTTGCAGAAGCATAGATGGATTAGACACTTTGATCTCTATCGGCACCAAATATGCCCCTATTAAGTTCCTCCACAACTAGGACCATTTTCTCCCAATACTAATTTGATATGTAGAATTTTTAAGTTCATTTAGCTTCAATGTGTTCATTCCTCTTGTCACTGCCTGTTTAAGTAGCCAATTACATTTATATAATTATTTTAATTTCACTTACTCTCTATGCCCTGTTAAAAGTTGGAGATGGCCTGTAACAGTGCAGAGAAGCTGTAGTGCCGACTTCATTTCTCAGTCTTGCACCCTCCTACCCTGCATGCCTATTAAGTCTATACATCAGATTTTCTGTATACATGACTTCCTCTTAATTCTCCCTTACTGCTCAGCAATATCAGGTTATCACCTGGGGATTTCGAAACAGCAATGGGTTGCCAATGATATTATAAAATCAAACATTGTATGTTTACTACTTTAGAGTTCCTTTAAATTTAGAATATGGCCAACAGAGAAAGTTATTACAAATTCCTTACAGAGCTGTCTATGAAAGAACAATAAATATTACATTGAAAGTTTTTACAGTCATTTCAGAAATGAGAACCATCCCATAGTGGCACTTACCCAAATTAAGATTTGTTGCATTGTGTAATTGCAGAAATAAATTATTTTTACTTAAATAGTAAAAATAAGAGATTATGAGTGGCAGTTATATAAATTATGTTTCTGCTTTTGTAAAATATGTAAAGATTAATACAGTATAGACACTGCCCTCAGTTAAAATTATAAAACCAAGGCTAATTTGAATGTTGAAAAAGAACCAGTTTGCTATAATTCAATAAAAATTTAATTTAATTTTATTTTATTCACAATAGATAAACAGTAAGTTTATGCTGTATAGAACAGGAAACTATATTCAGCATCTTACTGTAACCTATAATGGAAAAAGAATATGAAAAGGAATATAGTATGTATATGTATGACTGAACTATTAGGCTGTACACCAGAAATTGATACAACATTGTAAACTGACTATACTTCAATAAAACAATAAATAAGAAGAACAAGTTTAAACTTTGCCTTAATAATTATCTATTTATTATTCTCCTCAAGGCACCTATAATGTCTTTGTTCCTCAGACTGTAAATAAAAGGATTTAGCAGGGGAATTATGATTGTATAAAATAAAGAATACATTTTATCCTGATCTTCAGCTGGTCCAGACCCAGGACGCACATACATGAAGAAGAGAGTGCCATAGAACACAGAAACAGAGAGCAGATGGGCAATGCATGTGAAGAAGGCTTTGCTTCTTCCCTTTTCAGACTTATTTTTCAGGATGGCAAAGAAGACAAAGGAATAAGAGAGAATGATACTCATAAAAGTGAAAGCCTGTATAAAGACTGCAAATAAAAAAATCAGGAGCATATTAACCCTAGAGTCTGTACAGGAAATTTTAAATAGTTGTAAAATTTCACAGTAGAAATAATGTATTAATTGTACTTGCAGAAAGTTAATCTAAATGACAAACTCAGATGAATCATGGAATGAAGAAACCCAATAAAATAAGAAACACCTAATAATTGAGTGCTGAAGATATTGGACATCACCACTGGATAAAGCAAGGGATTGCATATGGCTACATAGCGGTCATAGGCCATCACTACCAGAAGGAAACATTCTGTGGTTGCACCGGAAGCAAAAAAAAAAAAATTGAGTAATGCACTCAGCTAGGGATATCTTCGCAGTCTTGTCTAAGAAACTGACCAGCATCCTGGGTGTTATAGAGCTTGAAGTGCAAGCATCTGCAAAGGCTAAACCACCAAGGAACAAGTACATGGGTGTGTGAAGGTGGGCATCCTTCCAAATAAGAGCCATCAGTCCAAGGTTTCCCACCATGGTGGTGAGGTAGATGAACAAGAACACCAGGCATAGGGGGACCTGCAGCCCTGGAAGATCTGTAAGTCCTGTGAGAACAAACTCAGTCAACAGAGTCTTGTTTGCCTCCATTATATCCACTCAGCCTGTGACTGCAGTGAAAGAGTAGATGAAGAACACAGTCATGAAATACGATGAAAATCAGTACATTTCATTTGAAAAAAATACATTTTCCTTGTTTATGTATCCCTGTTAATCAGGACATTTACCTTTACCCTTGAGTAAATATTCTTTACAAACAATAAGTATTTAGTAAACTGGTCTTATAAATTAGGGGGAAAATACATTTATATATATATATACACACACACACACACACACACACACTGATGATTCCATGACTTGTATAAGAGATCTTATTTTGTAATTTGGAAAAGTTGATTGTAATTTAATAATCATCTTCTGATATAAAAATCTTTTAAAATAGGAAAAGAATCAAGCTATTTAAATATGGTGAAGATGAGAAAAAGAAACAATAAAAATGCTATTATTATATTTAAGAGGTAGCAATAAAAATTTTAATTAAAAAATTAGAATTCATTGTAAGTAAAATTTTTGTAAAAATATATATCTTCAGTCCAGTAATTATTTTGGATTAGTACATATGCTTTTGAATATTTTCAGTAACATCTGTCTTCAACCATTGAGAGTGATTTCTTTCTCTCTCTCCCTCATTTGTTTTTTTTTTTTTTTTTGGTTTTTTTTTTCGTAGTACTCAACAAGGTATTTTGTAAATGAATAAAGTTAGGCATACAAGTTCAGTACATTTTTGTTCTTTTTGATAACAAAGTACCTTTCTTTTTGTACATATTTTATAATTTTTGTCAATAATACAGATGGAATAATTGATGTGATCTTTAAATAATTTGACTTTGTTCTGTGACATACAAATTTTGCCAAAAATTGAATCCAAAAGAAAAGATCCTAATATATTTGGAGGTGAATGCAGAGATTATTCAATTACCTAGAAGGAGAAAACCCACCTATAATTTAGTGTGTAGACTCAGCTGTACTCAAAATTAAATGAACAACATAATTTTATACATGTATTTGTTGCTGATTAAAATACATTAAAATTTTTTCTATTTACCAAAATTGGATTTGTTTAACCTTAAAATAGATCTGAGTTTTTATTTTCCACCTTCACTGAGAATAAAACAAGAAAATAATTAGTTTTAAAAATGTATCTTTTTAAGTATGTACCTGCAAGGAGCCCCGAAAACATAATACAAAAAGTAAGAAGATTGACTGCTATGTCTCCACTGAAAATTGGACTTTTGGAAATGAGTGTAGGCCATTTAGTTTCCAAAGTGGAGGCTTTGTCCTGAGTGAGCCTACCTAGTTTTCTTGCCAACTCCCAACTATAATTAATATTTTCAATTTTCATAACTAGGTCAAGAGCTTTTAAGCATTTTGGATCTTTGCCCTTAAGATATAGAAGATAGATGAAGATAGGTAGGTAGGTCGGTAGATAAATAGACAGAGAGAAAGACCCATCTATTTGGAATTAAGTTGCCTAAGAAATTTATCATTGGTGATTTTACCTCATCTTCTCATGATTCCATGAATAAATTAAGGAAATTTGAGCAGCTTAATTTAGTTGTCCATACCCTGACAAGAAATTTTTCTGTAGTATGAAATAACCTCTGAAACTTTTGAATCATTATCATTATTTTTTATTGTTTTAGTCTTCTCATATCCCAAGTTTACTATTAAAAATAAATCTTATTATGCATATTTTCTCAACAGTAAAACATCTAGTATTTATGACGGGCATATGGAATTGTTTGTCCTGATGAGGAACAGAAAATCACGTATGGTGGCCAAGATTTTTCTCTCTTACCTGGATATTTCATTATCAGGTAAGCAAAGTGAAAAACAACAAATAATTAAAATTAGACAGATCCTGGTGTCCTCACTCAGTTTCTATAAGTCGTGGGAAGAATGACAAAGCAATAGTTTTCTTGAAGGAAAGAAGATGGTTTTTCAAAGAAAATAAATTAAAAATGTATATTTCCCTCTACCATACTTTACACTAGGGCCAGAGTCACCTTTACAAATCGCCAAACTGATGAGGCCACCACTGTTCTCACATGTATGGCTGCATATCTTCTTAAAACCCTCCAATGAAGAAAAGTGGAAGATGCAGAATGAAACAGTGTTTACTTGTGCAAGAATTTTCCTTGGAATCCTCAATGGCAGGGATATATTTCTTTGTACTCTTTCAAATCTATTCATGAAAAAGTAAAAAGAATCTTAGAATTCCCTTAATGAAAGTTACCAGTAGATTCCCTGTGGGATGAAGGCAGAGTTGTCCTACTGGGCATTATGAGCTAATCAGCGAGCAAATCACCCCAGACGTACCCAGTGTAACAATTAGAACCACACTTTGTGTCGTTAGAGTTTACTATGCAGGGAACTTGATAAATTGCTTCTGAGTCATTTTTAAGACATTAATTTCCTCTATCTTATTATTCTTGATGTTGCTACATTCCAATGACTTGATAGTTTCTTAAGATATCTCAAAGACTTGTCAACCTCAACATGTCCAAATCCAAATTTAGTCTTTTCTAATCTGTCACTAAACATAGACCTCATCTTGTCTTCCCATTCTCAGTTAATGACATTACCATCTTCCCCATTTTAAAAGAAATAAACCTGAGAGTTATCCCTCAAAACCATGTCAAAACCATTATCAGACCGACAGCTTGTATCTCTTCAATGTCTGTTCAAACTGTCTGCATCTCTCTAAATTCAAGAAAATTCATCTCCTACTTAGAATACTGACATAACCTTTTAATATTCTATGTGTAATTTCCAACATTTTCTCCTATACCATTCCCTATATTTGGAGCAAAGTCATCTTTATAAAAAGTCAAACTGCTGAGATCACCACCATTCTCACCCCCATTGCTACAACTCCACCTAAACCTACAAATAATTTCCAGTGGCTCTGAGAAGGAATGAAATCCTTTAGCTCTTATATCCCTTCCTTCATCCTAAAACATATCCAATAATCCTCTATACCTCTATAAATTCAAAGTTTTTGTTTAATGTAATTCATAGATTTTTCAGGTGAATGATTCTGATATTTCTTTGATAATAAAATTGATCTAGGAGTTGATAAAATTCAGAATTTCATTTGTGCCTTCTGTATGTGATGTTGCTGTGAAACAAAATTCAGAGTTTATCCCTTTATTTTCCTAATCTTGTCATAAGAAAGAAAAGAGTTCTCCTTGAAAGGTGACTAGTATCTCTCGAGGCCCATTAGACTTCTGCCTGACATGCTGACCCTGTGAGGGGAGGAACACACATGCTTTGTGATTGAGGCTGACAGAATTCTTGAACTCTGAAGAAGCTCTGAAAGGGCCAACTGTTGGGACTAGGCTTTCTTCAGTAATGTAAGCAGGCCATAGAAGTTTTCAAGTCTGAAAATGACATAGAATTATGAACTTGTCCTTTTCACTGCCTGGGACATAGTAGAACATACCACAAAATCTGATCTAGGTACAAGATAGTAAAACCTCACATTTCTGACAAATCTCTTGAGCTGCAAAGATTTCCTCTGAGAATTGCTTGTGGTATACAACTGTGAGTGAGATTTATTCAATGAAAGGGAAAATTATGCTGTCTCTGGGTAGCCCTGTGGTTTGTGCAACTTTAATACAGAAGATCTCATGATTTCTTATCAAAGCAGTAATTTTTAAACCTTGCATTATGTTTTACTTTTGGGCAGAGGCTTTCTCACGCAGTCTCGCTGGAAGCTTCATTCCCCTCACCCTCCCTCAGAGCAGCCTGGCCCTCTTTAACACTCTCTTACTCAACCAGTGCCTCCATGCCTTCCCTCCAGTTTCTGACTTTTGCTGCAGTTGACTGATTTCATTTCTCACAACTCAAATCCAGAGACTGATGACTGCAACGAACTCCTGAATTCTAATAATTGATAGTATCACTTCTTACCAGGTAGCAGCTTGTTTAATGTAGAGAGGTTAAAATGATCGTTGGAGTGATAAGAAACTCCTTCTGTTAATTCTGTGTGATGTAGCATAACACGCCTCACTTGTGAAAAATGAAGATGTTTGACTAGAGGATCCTAATTCCTTTACACATCTACTCTCCATTGGGCTGGGAACTCTAAGGAATTTTAGCTTATTGGGATCTAGGAGCATTTAGGGAGATCCTGAAAGAAGAAAAGTAGAGAGGGGAAGAGAATATTTCTTCTTCTACTTGATTTGGCTGTAACTCAGAACTCAGGCTTTTTTTTTTTTCAATATATCACTGCAAGTAGGGAGGTGGAAATTTACAGGTCAGATTTCTTATGAAGAAACAGCCTTATTCACAAGTACTAAAGGAAAGAAAGAATTTCATCCCAAATACCCCACTAGTGTTCAGTATTCAGAGGTTCTAATGCTATTCTTCATACCTTGGGTCAGTGAGAAAGGAAGTGACACAGCAGAAAATTAAAGATATATATTTTTCTCCCTATAGCCCAGACTGCTAATTAATTAATATTTAACACGGGCATAGATTTAAATATCCTACAGTGTTTCCATTGAACTGCTATTATTTCAATGTGATAAAATGTTCCAGTGAAATCAGATCCAGTCTTCTTTTTATAGGGCAGGGTTTTTTTTAAATGGTGGCAGTTATAGAAGCAAGGTTTCACTGATTTGGGGGGATGAGGTGTGGTGGTAGGAGATTGATATTTAATTTCTCAATAATTTGTCTTTTTCTCAGATTTTATAGAATGGCTAGTACCTCACAGTTCTTTATTTCATCAACTATGTTGTCTAGCATTCTAAGTGCATGCCCACATATTAGATCACACATTCAAATCTAATTCAGCTCTTAAATGGGTGGTGTGTCCCTTGGCATATGAGAAATGATTGTGTTCCACTGATTTACATAAGACTAGTCTGGACCTGGAATAGAAATTTCAGTAGTTTTCTTGGAGTAACTATCCTTATTAATATTACACTCTCTGATAGCCTTTTTTTAAACTTACGTTTATTGAAGTATATTGGTGTACAATATTCTATAAAGTACAGGTGTACAATATAGTGATTCACAAATTT